AAGTGATCGTTGATGTATGACTCGCGGATTTTCTAATGCTCAGATACGACAATTTTGTTTGTTAACAAATCCGTTTATGTCGAAATGGGCTTCATCACTCATTATGATTTTTTGACAAAAATCGTTCGTTTGGTTGTTAAGCTGCAAAATTGCGTAACTGTATTAACGGCGACTTTCGTGATTTCTAGGCTCTTGGGTTAACTGAATTTTGTACGGCCGCAAGTGTAAGTCCTTTTTTAAAATCGTGCATAATGACGTGCGACGAATGCCCAGTTCTTGAGAACGGCATCTGGTAGAAGTCTTAGGGGGCTTCACTACACTTTTACGCACTCTCTCAACATTTTTTTTCGGGGTACGAACAGTTCGAACGCGACCCGACCTTGGCAAGTCTTTAACTTCACCGGTTTGTTCAAATTACCGCACTAATTGACAAATGGCGTTGATACTGGGCACATTATTTCGACAAAACTCTTGTCGTAGATTCCGTATGGTGGCAGTCATCGACTCATTATTTGAATAAAACGTTTTAACAAGACAAACGCGTTGTAAGATCGTGTAGCTTTCCATGATGATTTTGACACATGTGCTTTAAACAACTACTAAAAGCGCCACCTACGGAAATTCGTGCATCAAAAATGGCGCGCTATTTAAATCAATCAGTTATATACTGGCAACCCTGTAGAAATACCAAGCTGTATAATTACCAAATAAAATGAAAACTATAAGAAAGTATATAAAGTGTAAATGATTGATGTTTATTATTTACCTGTGAAACGTAATATCTGGTTATTTCTTGTCCCTACGACTTTTACACTGATATGTAACACAATAAACAATTGTAACAAACTAATTATCAAGTGGCATTTAATTCAAAAATCACAAATAAACACGAGTAAGAAGCTTTGGTGTCGCCGAAATGCTTACCACAAAAATCGATAATCGGCACAGAATAATATGAGTGCTTGATATTCTTGTTACGCGTCTTCGCTCTTTTCTTGCCTAAGAGTGGTAGGTACTAGAAGCCATCTTTGAATAATTTACAATGTTATTGACATTGTTTATGTAATCATTGTCTGCATAAATCACATAGCAATGCAATGGCCCATCATGGCCGATCGTGTGGATGACAGCGCAATGATGGGATCGATGATGGCCCATTACGCAATGGTCCATTATAGCCGATCGTGTATATGAGCCATCATGTTATTTTTTTATTCCTTTAATAATTTTTTTATATATGCCAGTATTAGCTATTTTATTGTTTTGTGTTAAATTAGTAGATATGATGATGACCTTAAATAAATGTAAGTTAGTAGTTTATGCAATAAATTTATTATTAATATTATTTATTATAACGTTTTTGCTGGATTGCGGAGTTAATGTTTCATTTTCAACAATTTCTGTAGTTTTATTTACATTTTGATTATGGTTTCATATTATTTGTTGTTGCCGTATCATTTCGAGGTAATAAACTTTGTTTTTCTACGCCCATGTCAGTAAACGTTAAAAATCGCACTGTCAACATTCCTTGTAAATGACATTTAACAATTAGGCATTCCAACGACCTGTCAAACAATAGGTGCCAGTGGGAAATTCTTGTATATCTAAGGGGGGTAGCGACATAATCTTGCAACTTGGACGCTATTTTTATTCGAAGTAGTAGTCGCCAAGCCTGCCATTTTATGAAGAAATGTATAGGTGGGTTTTTAAATATTATTTTTATTGTGTTTGACATAAAATATTTAAATTCTATCCATTATTCATGATTTTACGTAAAGTAGATAGAATACACCGTATGTCGCCACCCTTAGATATACCAAACCTTCCCACTGGCAATTCATTTGTTTGGAATGCCTAATTAGGCATTCCAACGACCTGTCCAGATGGCTACCAGTGGGGACTGACAGTTTAAATATGGCAACCCTGTTGTCATGTTGTCATTAACAGGGTCAATGATACATATATAGTTATATAGATTGCTCAAAGCTGGTCGTTTGCGAGCGGCCATATTGCCTGGAAAAATTTATTTATTTCAATCGGTTTAGCAAAAATGTGTTTTAAACCAATTTTCAGCCTTTAGATATTAAAAAAAAAATAATTGTTTACATTTTTACTTCAAGGTATAAGCTTATGTTTATTTTAAAAAATATGGATGATCAATCTATGTAACTATCTATTTCATTGACCTTGTCAAATCACCAGGCCTACAGGATTGCCATAATTTTGTCATATCATAACCTGTCAAAACTCACTGGTAGCCATTCAGTTTGGAATGTCTAATAACATGCACGTAACTTAGATAATATATGTATAGATAGGCTACCCCTGCATAAATCTATACAATGTTGATGTCGCCCTAATAAAATCATTGTTTCTTTTTCTAATGCAGGCTTTCTCGCTCATATTAAAATCTTCAGCAGTAGCGTACGTAAACGGATTGCATTGGATTATTTTAAATGTGAAAATAGTGACTGCAAATAGATTAAAAAATACAAAATAATGTTTTAAAAGATAAGTACGTTTTTATTGAACTGAAAACAAAATATGGCATTATTGTCATGTCAAAAAATATAATAATAATGCAAATATATTTTATTGCTTCTAAAACATTTAGGATTACAGCAAGGATTTGGAATTCTATAAAATATCTATACCTATTGAAAACCTATACAATGGTAGAACTGGAGAAATACAAAAAGCATTTAATTTAAACATGAGAAAATATACCTAATAAGAATAAAACAAACCAATATACTATATTTACCTATTTAGCATAAGTAGAAGTATTTCAGGACATTAAAAAAATATATAAGAATTTTATTTACTTTTCTAGTGACTTCGTTTAAAATATAAATTATTTAAATTAGATAACTGAATATTATTATATTACTGATAATAGTTTATATTTTAGACCATGTACAAATATACAGTATGCGTCCAAAAAAACTAATAACATATTTTTTTCTTTTTAAATCGGCAATTCTGCACAAATTTTTTGATATTTGCACACACTTTTTCACTCATCTTAATTGTGTCTACAATGTTTTATTTTTGTTTCGTAAGTTTGAAGCAGTAGTGTTAGCATCAAAAAAGTCTTCGTAATGACCGACTTTCTAGAAACTTCAATGTAAATGTACCAAAAGTTTTCTGAAAAAAGTTTTCATATTTAATGTATCAGCTAAATCCAATGTTTGATTTACTTCTTAATTAATGGTGACTCAAATTTTGTTTATGAGAGTTTCAGCGTCATACCTTGAATTTAATATTGAAGTGTATGAGGTACTTTTGTTTAAACTATAACTTCTTTTATTTGTTGGCAAGTTTAATACTCTTAAAGAAGGCCCATAATCAAATAATTTGGTATCTGTAGAAATTACTATACTAAAAACATTCAAACATATTATTGGTTCGCCAAATTTATTAAACACAATACCTTCTATTTTTTTTTGGTGACTTAGGTTCACCACTACTCTTTTTCCTGCTTTTTGTGTAATACAAAGTTCCTAAAAAGTAAAGATACAATTTTTTAAAGTGCTCGATATTATTTAGAGACGTACAAACTTATAAATATATTTGTTGCAGCAAAGCCGTCCTCTAAAAAGTGCCTTGAACAAATGTAATATATTCGTTCAACTTTTCAGTCCATTCAAGTGTCTCTAACCATAAATTTCTTCTAATTCGTATTTTAGAACACTAAATAAAATAAAATTTTAATTTTTTTTAATATTCATATTTTATTTTCCTTTTTCTCCTAAAACGACGCCGATGTTCTGCGGTAAGAAATAATATTAACGAGTGAAACGTAATCTCACTTTCTCTTTTATATTTAAAACCACATAAAACACAAGTTTTTTCCTAGTATAAAATAAACCCTACACACCAAAATCTCTTTTAACACCACCACACTTGAACGAATTTAAGTAAAAACTTAAATAATTGTCTAAAAATAACTGGAAAAATAAATATAGAGATGGAGATATTAATCTATTTCTCTCTAATTAGAATCTTTGGTGCGATTCTCGACCATATTATCAAGGCGACACAAACATTGTTTACTGCCCTCTCTGTACTACTCTGAGGCACGTAATGAGATCTCATAACATACATGTGCGTTTTGATAAGAAAACTTAAAGTTCTTAGTTTAATCAAATTGAAATCAATTTTTTATCTACGTACGACTTTATTTGGTCTATTTAATAAATTTAGTCAATTGAAAAACATAAAAACTTTTAGCAATAACGAGATATATTTTGGATTAAAAAGTTATGCCCTTAAATGTCGGCAACACATACAATTTTTCAAAAAATAACTCGCGTTTTCTTAGCATTCTATGGAAATAAACGCCGTTTCGTTTATATTGTCAATTTTTGTAAAAAAATATTATTGTATTCAAATATTTTCTCAATTTTACCTACGAATATGTCTGTTAGTAGTGAAAGTGATGAAATTATGAGTACTCCACCGAATATTTTAGAAAAATCTCAAGCTGCCACACATAATTTGTTACAGCAAAAAATCCAAAGAAAGGTACGAATTTACCTATCGAAAATTTATGGATTGGCGACACAAGCATATGTCCTTTATTTAATAGAAGAAAATAAGTGGGCGCAGAAAAAGTATAGTACATTACACGAGTTGTAAGCTTCGCGCTGCGCGGCTTCGTGCGTAAACTTTTTCACTTCGTGCGTAATGGGTTACTTGCAACTCTTGTTACGTAATATACTAATACAATGAAAATGTCAAGTAATAAATGCAATTCTGTGGAAGTGACTAAAGTAAGTATCAAGCCAAAACATTTAAATCTCACAGCCAACTTCGATTACAATTTTTTTCGATGGCTCGTTATAATATATTAGAAAGGTAGAATAATAATCAGCCATTACATGGAGTTTGTGGTTGAATAAATCACAAACTTAATTTAACTTCAACGATTCAGCAAGGAAATATAATTAAAACAGTTGTTAGACTATGCATTTCAAATTATGTATAAGTCAACTTACTATCTCTGGACGCCTTATTCCTAGCGACGGCCACAAATCCTTCATCCCCAATCTGAAACGGCGTTATCCTTGCGGCTCCTGTATCGAGGATATTTTGCAGGACATCGAAATGTCTGCCGTGCCATTTGTACAGGCGGGAAGAAGAAGAAACGGGTGAATTCGCCATAAATCCGACAAGCGACATAAATACGTTGCCGTTGTCCTCCCTAAGGATAAATTCAATTAGTTCTCATAATGGAGAGACGTGGAAATGGGGAGTTAGAGTGCTCACACTCTCCAGATGGAGCTCTCCTAGGTGTACGGGATGGTTCTCTTATTAAAAAACTGGATAAGTGGATACAGAATTTTATGCGGTTTGTAACTTCTATAAGGAAATTACTTCGTTCAAGGATTTCACTGAATTCTGTTATTTATCCATTTTAGTACAAAATTAAATTCTAATATATACCGGATGTTTGCATGAAAATATTGGATATATTTATAATGTCTTTAAGAAGAAATAAGTGATTTTTATTTTGTTATACATCGTTACTGGCATCAGTAAAATTGAAATAAATTAGTCTAAAAATTGTAGCATTTAACTGCTAAAATGTGGCTATCTTTATAAATGAAAATAAACACTCGAGGTCCGTCATCAGTTTTTAATAAAAAAAAGTAAAATTTTTGTACAAATTCAAACAACAAAAACAAAATTAACAGGTGTTGTTGATTTTGTTTTTGTTAAAAATACAAAGCATTTTTGTGGGTAAAAATAAATAATTTAAGCACGGCACTGTTTGGCAAAAACGCTGACATTAACAATTACGTTATCATCCGTTCTTAAATCACTGTCACTAAGACTTTACTTTTCCGCGTCATTTCTAAAAATGATGTTCAACAATCAACCATATAAAGGACAGGAAAAAGTCGAAAGTCGTACCACTTAATTTTTATTAAAATGGATAAAGCGCGACTAGTTTTGGTCAGTGGCCATCATCAGGCATTGTGAAACAGGAAAATAAAATTGTCATGAGCTGAGGTAGCTTAATAGGGCAGTGGTGACGGCCAAATCAATATTGGAATTTATTTTTTTTAAACCAGTAAATATTTTCTTCGCAGCACGTAAAATACAACATACAAAAAACAGGAAACGTAAACACTTTAACGAAATTAATTTATAGGCGTGGCAAGTACTGGTGACAGCTCACTTGTTTCATTTTTCAAAATTAACAATAAATTTCTTAATTATATCTTCAATCTTACAATTTTTCCATTCTGCCAAGGAATGATGATAGCCTTTGAAAACTGGCAGCCTCCATTTATTTATAAAAAAAATATTTATGTGGTACAGATTTTCAATATTTATTTTCATTTAAATTAGTGTATGATCCTTAAATCATTAATAAATCATTAATAAATCATTAATAAATCATTAATAAATCATTAATAAATCATTAATAAATCAATCAATAATACATCATTAATAAATCAATAATAAATCATTAATTAATTATTAATTAATCATTAACAAATCATTAATAAATCATTAATAAATCATTAATAAATTATTAATTAATCATTAATAAACCATTAATAAATCATAAATAAATCATAAATAAATCATTAATAAATCATTAATAAATCATTAATAAATCATTAAAAATCATTAATATATCATTAATAAATCATTAATAAATCATTAATAAATCAATAATAAATCATTAATAAATCATTAATCACTCATTAATAAATCAAATCAATAATAAATCATTAATAAATCATTAATATATCATATCATAAATTATTCATAAATTGTTCAAAAATCGTTTGTGATAGAAATCTTTTTCTAGTCGAAATAGTTTCAACTGTATACAAATCGAACCATCCTGTACAAAAATATACCAGCACGAATGTTTTCTGTGACTGTTATGTGTGTAGTGTGAAAAAAAGAAAAGGGGGGATAAGGAACGGGCTTGAAAAAGATCATCACTCATGTTTCAAGACCTACTGGGCGTGCTTTTTTGTTGCGTATAGCCGTAACTATACTGTTAATGGAAGAATTCGGAACATATGGTGGTCATTTTTATTTTTATTGTTAAAGCTTTAAGCTTTCAAGGCAACTAACTACATTGGCTAATCGTAAATTTGTTTTTAATTTCTAAATTGTTTGACAAATGGATTTGGTGGTGTATTAATGTCTAGAAGATTAGTCTGCATGGGCGCTTCCAGTGGGGCCAAAAGGGGCAGAATATAAATATGTTTTGCCACCCCGAAAAACATAGCTTTACAAATTTTTAAGTGATATAGGAAATAATGTCCAAAATATTACAAAATACAAAATAAAAAAAAATGGTACCTCACAACTAGGAAATATTTGACTCTAATTTATTTAGTAAAATAGTAATCATTTGGAACATGAACCTGTAATTAAAATATTGTCTATTTTTTACTATACATCTTATACACCGTGTTTCTTAATGATATGGGAATAGTTCATCGTGTATATCTACATGAAAAATTAGTGATAGTTTGCTTTGTAAACTATGGTCCAAATGTCAAATTTTTTCTTTAATTTGTCAATAAATAATTACAATAATTTTCTAGGACGATACAATAGTTTGTGTTTCTATACTCAAAAACTGAGCAATGTAGGAAAACAAATCAAGAGATCCTTTAATTTTAGAATTGAACGGGGAATTTAAAAATAATTTTTATTTAGGAAAAAAGCATTGTTATACAATATTTTTTTAAGCTAGTGCCCATAGGCACGCCTCTGTTAAATTTAAATTCCTTTTGTATATTTGCTGCGTTTGAGAAAAAATATTTGATCACGTGATTCAGTATACGTAAATGTAATGAGGCAGATGTGTCCGATGTGAATAAAAAAACGCTCGAGATGTAAAAAATGCATCCGATGTGGATTCTCAAACGCGGCAATTGAAACATATGCATCATTATTAACTATCACTGAATATTATTTATCACTGAAATATCTCAAGCGGTTACGAAAATATTAATTAATTTAGCTTTTTTCTTCCAAAACTTTAACACCCTGTATTTTCGTAATGGAACATTTTTGTACCAACTATTATTATTTTTCATGTAGATTCACATCCTTTAATATTCGCCATATCATTAAAGAACACCACGTATATTAAACGTTGAATTTGTGATTGATGATGATAATAATAATAATAATAATGAGGATGATGATAGTGAGGATACTGATCTATCTCTATCTATCTATCTATCTATCTACGATGCGGGCGTGGTATTCACAGCCATTGGCTAGTAGCTATTACATAATGAACAGTTTATCTTTAGAGTTAGAATGAAATACATCTAAAATACATGAGAGGTAAGTGTTTCAGAATTTTCTTTCAATCTCAAAAGCGAGAATGTTTTCTTTGTGTTATTATAAGCAGTTTCGGAAGAACTACATTCAGTAGTGACCATGGAGAACATAATTTATTCAATAAAAGTTACAAAGTCTATAAATTAAAATTATTCGTGTTCAGAAGGTTTGTTCCAACTTGGTGTTTGGTACCGTTCTTATATCATACCAATATCGGTTCATGAACGATATACTGCGCAAGCGCATCTCTGAATGGTTTTGGAATCGGAAATGAGCTGGAGCGCTTTTAAAACTGTTGATGGTCCATAAATAGAGAAAAAGGGGAAGAAAATTCTAACCAAACTTTTCGAAAGCAAAATAAAAGTTTTTTGTTTTGTTGATGTTGTTAATTATTTTTTATTTTATCTTTCTAGATTTTAGGGCCCAATGAAAAATAATTATTTTTATTTATTATTTTGTTTAGACTGTTTACAGAACATAATTTAAGTTTATATTTGTATGCATCACTTGTTTTTCAGTAATTTTGTCCGAATTTCTTGTTTTAAATCTGGTAAATTCAAATATTGTGATTTATAAAAAGTAGTTTCTAAATAAAAATGTATATCGTGTTCTCATTTACCTATCAAAACGCTATTAATTTGTAGGTTAAGTTAACTAAAACTAACCACTATCAACATATATCGATCGTTCTGCGCAAGTCAGGCCTAACAGTTCCACAAAAATTTGTGAATCGATATGACGGTACAAAAACGATTCCGGAATCATCCATTTTTTAGTTGGAACGAATTCTGTATCAACCCGCGCATGGTACAAATTAAGTTGGAACGCTAGGAATGTAATACGCATGGGGTGGACGGTTACTGAATGGTTTTGTATCGAGTTGGAACAAACCTAATATTAATTTCGAGTGAAAATAGCTGTACTTACCAAATATTAACATCATGATATCCAGACCCATTGACTTTTTCAATAATATCAAATTCCTCTTCTATATTTAGTTCATAAATTTTGGTGTGATTTAATTCGGTGGAATTTTCTGCGACCACTATTATTGTAGAATTTTCAAATGGAAATGCTGCCAACCTAACACCATTTTCTATCTCTGCTTCTATGATGGTACTAAATGTATTATCCTTAAATTAACAAGAAGTTTTTGTCATAAGGATGAACCTATTTACTTTATATTTTAAAATTGCTTCACTGTCCTAATTTTTTTACTTACATGGTACTTGATAATCCTAATAAGGTTAAAATATTTTCCATTTGGTTGTTTGGTTATAGTTGCTGCATACCATTGTAAATTTTGTTCAAAAAATACAGTGTCACGGGAAGCAAATGTTGATACGTTTCCATAAGGATTCAAATCTGAAAATAAAAATAATTGCATCCTATAAAATAGATTTCAAAATATTCTAATGACAGAAAGTATTCTTTGGTAAGCAAAATCTATTATTTTTCTCTGCAAGGGCTTTCTTTACAGTACTGGTAACATTTTAGTTTACTTCCAGTTTTCGACACTGCCTTTCAGCTTTTCTTACTATATCTTTAGTCAAATATATTTTAGAGATTATTTACTAAGTCTAGCTATATTGTCCTATCCATAATTACCCTAACCACATTTACCCAATATTTGGATCTGTTTGTAAAACTGACGTCTCAATCTATCATAGAATTTTCATTTTATCCACTATTTTAAAGATTTTGAAGTTATCTTAAGCTATGGTTTGTTAGGACAGTGCGCGATATACGCGTGCAATATACTGTACATTGTGAGCAAACAGTATATATGACTTGTTACAATATATTGCACATTTTGAATAGGTAGTAGTGTATTTGCGATTTGGTAAAATAAAATTAAAAATAACAAGGGTACAACTAATCATTAATTTGTGTGATATAACAAAAAAACCATTTTGTTTTTTTGAAATGCTTAAATGTATATTACAATTAGTACAAACAAATTTTGTCCCAGAAGTACATTCAGGGAATTTGCATCTGGAAGAAAAAGTTTTTTCATCTATTTTTATATTTTCATCATCATCATCATTAGTGCTTACTTCTACGACCCTATCTCCCCACTCATAATCGTCATCACCAAGCCCTTCAATATCTGATAGGCCACCTTCAATTAGTTTTTTTAGTTGTTCATCAGTTAACGGCACTTTTTTTACTCATTTTTCTCTGAAATAAATCAAGTATAACAAAAACTGTAAATAACGTGTGGAGTTTTTCACCATACCTGTCCATTTCCGTTTATTGACAATATATTGTATATTTAATATTTACTTCATTATAGACAAAACAAACTAAATTTTCAGCAAGTTCACTATAAAAGTAACAAATACACGTATTGGTTATTATCAAAATAAATGCAGCAATGTCACAGAATGTTTTAAAGTTTGAAACGTCATCTCATTTTAACATTCTGAAAAAACCGCTACAACAGTAACAGGTGCCAATAATATATATTTTTTTTAACTACTCAATGCTAGATGAAAGAAACAGTTTACAATAGTAATAAGGATGTGTACAGATTATGTACTTTGTGAGTAAAGTGGATAGAAGCATTCTACAAATTCGTTAGGTTTTACGTAAAGTGATGTACAATATACTGTATACCGTGAGCGAAAGGGTTAATGGAAGGGTTGTGTCCAAAAAGTATACAGTGTGCTGCCTTTTTGGCTAGTGAATTAGCAAGACGATTACCTTTCGATGTGGCGTTACCTTCGATCCATCTTAAGGTAACCACATTGTTGATACATACTTCGGCCAAAGCTTCCTGACATTCTACTACTAACGCTGTGAAAATTCGTAGTCTGTACATGGTGAGTAGTGCTTGCCTGCTATCTGAATAAACGAACATGTTCCTTCCAGTGATATTGTTTCTGGTAACTTATTTTGCTGTTATGAGAACCACTAGCCCATTTTATGTGTAGGTTTAAGAATTTGAAGCATATTCCACATCCTGAGCCTTGTTTTGTTAACTACCACTTCTGTTTGTTTCAATATAACTGTATATGGCTTATGGAAGATATATCTTGGTGAGATGGACTTCTTGTTTCCTTGAAGCAGTGAAAGCGTATCAAGCACCTCCTGCCAAAAGCGACGTCTCGCTTTACCATATCCTACATCAGGTTCTAATCTAATCGTGCGCAATCGTGTCATTTTCATAAGAGCAACCTTCTTGATGTAAATATCAAAGTGTATTTTTATGGCTCCTGTTCTGTTGATCTTATACTTATCTTATATACATATATTTGAAGTACCATTTAGACTTTTTTATTAAATTAAAATGTAGTCCTTTTTTAACTAAAACAGTAACACGATCTGTTTTTTAAGAAAATTTCACTGTTTTAAATATTTAGCTTACCCGGTTGCCTTTCAAATTTCATAACTACATTTCAACTTTCCTATCTGCTTGCTAGGATAAATTGATAAAATATTTTTCTTTTTGCCATAAGTTATATATATATAAAAAATTCTATAAACCTCTTATTTCTTACAGTTATGACCAAATTAACCCAAGACCAGCTCCAAGATCACCTTCAAATGCAGCTAACAGAACTGGAAAGTCTCCAGTCGGTCTTCTACAATCCGGGAGAAATAAAGATAGAAGACATTTGTACATTGGCCGACATAAAAGATTACGTCAATAACAAAACTACCGTATCTCCGCCGTATTTGGATTTCACCATAAACGTTGTCGTTGATCATTTGAAGTTCGAGCTTTGCGTGACTTTACCGCACGAGTATCCGAAGACTGAGCCCGAAATTTTCGTTAGGAATCATAAACTCAACAGGTAAAATTATTACAGAATAGTATATAAATTTTAGGATGATTTAGATTAAATGAAAATAAGAGTGCATTGATTTATTAGGCATTCCAAACAAAATGGTTGCCTGTGGGCCTGATGGATTTGGCAGGGACAATGATATATAGTTATAATGATTGATCATCCACAATTTTTTCAAAATAAACAGTTGATGCCTAGAAGTAAAAATGTAGGTTATTATTTTTGTACTATATTCAGAGGCTGAAATTTGCTTTTAAATATTGCGATAGAATAAAGTAGAGACGACATAAACACTATTTTACGATACGGCAGATAGACGGAAAAAAGGTAATTAAAATGGAGGCTTAAAGTCGTTATTTGAAGTCAATAATTTTATAATTGTAGATTGGCGGAATGAAAATGAAGCTATTTAAAAAAAATGGCATGTATACTCATCAAAACTGACTAGCTCCAATAGGTCGATTTTGACACATGACGTAAAATTATAATACAAAGGTGCGGGACACTTTTATACCGTTTTCTACTGGGCACACTCAGTTCACACTCGTGAAGTGCGAGTTTTAGTTGCTCAGCACTGGTTCAATTTAGTGACATCATACAAACTTATTCCAAACGAACACTCAGTTGACCACCCAGTGCATTGTATTGTATTTGACAGCTATCATCTGAGTGATAAGTAAAAGTAGTACCTTCCAAATTCCAAACAAGATCAAAGACAAGCTTTAATTTTAAACATTTATTTAATATTGTCTATAAAATATTTTATCAACAGATTAACATAAACTTACTTATGTTTAAGTTCTTAAGATGAATTACAAGAATATTTATGGTACCTACCTGGAAGTCATCAAGGTGCAACACATTCAATTCAATGTAATCTTTTATTATTGGCAGTTTAGTTTTATTAAACTTGGCCTTAATTAAATCTTCTTCATCTGAGTCTGACGAAGAAGTTTCCAATATTTCTTTATAAATTCTAAAAAATTAACATATTTTAGAAACAACTCTTTATTTGCCATCGCCATATTTGTTACGACTGAACTGAAACTGAAAACTTGTCTCTAAACTCAGTTTACAAAAGTGCGCACCGGTTAATTTTTTTGAGTTCAACTGATTTCAACCGAAAATTCAAAAACTGACCCGGTTCGAACTGCTCTTACGAGTCGAAAACAAATTTTGCACAGAATGTTAAAAAGTGCGCACCAGTTCCACCAGTCGAAAATGCTATTAGTATCGTCAGAGGATTTAAGGATTTGCGAAACAATATGACGTTCACAATGCGACTCGCTTTAAGAAATCTAAATAACAATATACATCTTTGACCCTGTCAAAGCCAAAAGGTAGCTATTTGGACATTGTTTTCTCTTATAGTATATAATCATTGATTTAGTTAGAGCTCTGGATAATTATCCTTACGTTTTTTTTTTAAGGAACAAAGCCGTCCAACTCAACAAAGATCTCAACGAATTCATTACCAATCAAGAAAAAGGAGAACCCTGTATTTTTTCGGCTGTTTCTTGGCTACAAGACAACTCGTCTGAGTATGTGCAAGTCGAACAGGAAGAAACGCCGCCTAAAAATAATACAGCAGATGAAAAATATCTTCGATATTGGATATATTCTCATCACATCTATAGTAAGACTAAAAGGAGAGAGATAGTCGAGTTAGCGCACCAGTTGAAGATTACAGGTTTCTGTATGCCGGGTAAATAAATTGTTGACATATGTTGGTAATGTTCCCAGTTCTGCTTGCTATAAGCCCACGCTACGCGTTTAATTTTTCAGAATTTTTCAGAAATCTGTTAATATTATTTCGTATGCAAAAGTATTATTTCAATTTAAAAGGCACAGAAGTTTATGGATGGTATTTTTTAAAGCAGAATAATATTGTCCTTACAATAATTATAATTTTTTATACTAACCTATGAAAGGTTATCCAAGTTAATGTTTTACTTAGTATTGTTAGAGCAGGAAAGAATTATACATGTAGGCATTATGTACTTTATAAAGTTCAATCGTTCAAAAAGAAATAAAAATTAAATTTAATTACAAAAATGACATTAAAAAGATAACCTATAAAATTGACAAATTGCACTCACAATAATGGCGGACTGATCCCACTTTGCGCTTATAGTATAAGGGCAAAATGTATAAGCCTCATACATGTTGTACCCCCAGATTTCCGTATCATTGTAGGGTGATGGGTGACCTTCTTTTATTCGTGCGTTTACTTATAATAACCGCAGGTTAGTGCAGGTTGCCGGGTAAAATTTTTCACTCCTGTCTAATTATTTGTCCAGAATGACTTGATAACTGGTACTTGGTTGGAGCCAACGTGGAGGATCTAAAACATGGTATGGCGCTAACTTTTCAATGTGAACTACTCTGGGTTTACTTCCCACTGACAATTGAACGCAGTAGATCAGGGACCTATTTAATAAAACTACTTTGTAACTTTTCACTTTGCATATTTTATTAAATATATGTTTCATAAAAGAGAAATTTGACGGGTTGAAAAGTAAAATTTGAAAAGCAATTTGTAATGCGAAAATTAAAAATTAACATTTTGAAAAGATGTTATTTTATAAATCACATATTTTGCCCACGTAAATTTGCAAAGTGCTAAGTGAAAAATTAAAAAGTAGTTTAATGAAATATGCCCCACGTCGTTGATTTTCTTGAGGATGGACTTTCCTAGTTCCGTTGCAATTTCTGACAAAGTTCTTTTCGGCGCTTGTGATTGTAAAGCGACCGATCTCTTAAAATCTATCAAAGTGGCATTCATGTCGATTCTAGCTTTTGTTTTATCGCGAATCCATAAACCTTTTCTAATCTTTCTCTTAAGTTCTCTATGTACGTGGGAGGTGTCCGGTCCTATGCTTTATTCCATAAAGAAGATCATGAAGAAGCTTCATCTCATTTCCTGCAATCATAATTGATGGAGTAAAACTGGTCAATTCATGTTCAGAGCTTCGGTTGACTAGCAAAAGCAGAAGTAGGGGAATTAAAGTGTCCCAGTCCTTTTGGTTTTCAGAGACGGACATTGAAAGATACTAGCAAATGGTTCCATGGTGTTTTTTTACTTCTGATGCCTAACATTTTTATTAATTCGGATTCATAATTTCGTCTTTGGTAAGAATGCAATTCCAGAGGGACTCAATGTCTCGCTATGACGTTCATCAAAAATGCTTCTGCTACTGTCGTCGCTTCCTGATTAGCAATGGGCGCTATTTCAGGCTACTTTGAAAAACATCCATCAAGAATATGTTTCCCCTCTTCTTTCTCTTTCCTATACCTTTCCTTTTCCTCTTCTTCCTCTTTACTATGCCTTCCCTTTTTCTCTTCCTTTTCTTTAGTGCGCATTTTCTTTTCCTCTTCTTCCCTTTCCCTGCGTCTTTTCTTTTCTTCTTCTTTTTGCGCCTTTCCTTCTCCTCTTCTTGCCTTTCTTTCTCCTCTTTTATCTCCAAAAACCATTCTGGGGGACCTAAAGTATCCATGCCTGTTTCGTACGTAGTGGATCTAGTATATACCAAGAACATAATACTTAGGTAACTTTTATTTTGAATCCCACTTCTGACACCAAAAAATGTTACGCTGATTTTTGGTAAACTCAATTTATTTCAAAATCAACTTTCATAATACAATAATGCTTTAACGTACAACGTCTATTATAAAACTGAAACTTTGACATCAAGATCGTTGGCCAATATAGTGCTCTTAATTTTTTTTCTCGAAACTTCCAGATGGTTCTTATCAAGGAATAACATTTCTAGACTGTTCTTTCTTCTTCTTTTATTCGTACTTTTAGTTAAAATAACCACGGCACCCTGTAGGGTGCTGGGTGACATTGTACTTCTTCTTTTATTCGTGCGTTTACCTATAACAGCCGCAGGTTACTACAGATTGCAGGGTAACAATATCAAATCAATTTGATACACTTCCTTAAAACTACTGTTTTCGAAGTAAGTTCCATTCCATATAGCAGGTTGTATATAAACAAAACCATTTTGCACAGGCTTCGTGCAGCGTCGGCCATGAATGTTTTCCAATATGTTTTTCACAAGTGCATGTGAAAATTACAGTGAGTTAGCATTAAATCAAACGGGAACTAAATAATATCGTTGCCAGTTTATACGACCCAACCGCATTGTAACGTTTCAAATTTGAACAAAAGCAGGAGCTATAAACAAAAAACAAAAAATTTCTTAAATTTTCAGCACTCTGTAGATCAGTAACGAAGCGTTTGGGTGCCACCTGTATATTTATAATTTCTCGGTAATTATCACTCAAAAAATAACGATTTTGAAGTTACGGCACCGTTGCATCAAATGATCGAAATTGTTTCCTATAGAGGAATGCAGATATCTCTTTGACGAAGAAACCTCTTGATCTGCTTGCAATAAATCGCTGTTTAATCGTCTCTGAACTTAGATAGAATTGCATACTTTCGAAGTTCCACAACTTCAAGATTGACAAACTTTATCGTTTCGACAAGAACTTTGGCTGGTCGGTACAGGGAAAGTTCAATTATTTTTGTATAAACAATAAAGTTATTTATTAAATATAATGATTCTGAAGAGACGAAACGTCGTAAACTAAATTTATGTCCTTCACTTAAATATTTTACTATTGGTATACCCCTAACATGGTACAAGCTGGTAAATATAATATTAAACCTTATTTTAAAATAGATAAAACTGACATTTACATAATAGCTACTTAAAAATAATCTATTCAACTTAAGTTGACTCTCTGAACTAGGAGAAAATAATAAGAAAATGTCTATTTATTAAAACGGAGATACTTGCTATACTATATAGAATCTTTCTATTGTATTCAAATTATTTAATGGATTGGAATTATTTACATTTTCTGGTATTGCGAACACTTTTACTGTCAGAGTTACTTGTCTCATGGACTGACTTTACATGCGTTTGAAACGATTTCATAACGTCTGTCAGTTGGAAATGCAAGAGGAACATAAACACCCCGTAGACATTGTGGCCTTCTCTAATATCTGCATTTGGCCAGGAGGTGCTTAGATGCTGGGTATCAAAGTATTATAAACGGATTTTCGGTGTGTGTACTTGCTAATTACTAAAGTTTGGATACCTTGCAAACTTCCCGCCACGATGCATTTCTTTTGCAAGTCAAGAGGGTCGCATAATCATGGACAAGGTTTATTAAAGTTTCTACACACTGATAGCGGCAGTGGTGGCACGTTCAATAAATAGAGCTTTATTATTGAAACCTTATTTATCAATCTGACATTTACGATATATTTACAAAATAAGCAACAGCAGATTTAACAGCTGTCATTTATTTATTTATTTATTTATTTATTTATTTATTTGGGTTACACCATCCAACAGTATAAAACCAATTACAGGATGGGCACAAAAATAATTATAATTACAGTATAATTTACATCATAAAAATAATAAAATATTAAATACTAATAATAGCATAAATATATATAAACAAAAAAAAAATAGTTTAATAAACGTTTTTAACCATCATAAGAAAACGCAAAATAAAAACTCCGTTAGGAGAAAAAATTACCTTGTCTTATGATAATTAACTCCAAAATTAAGCGTTTTATTTCTTTAATTGAAATAGAAAATAAATCAACATCATTTTGAAGTTCACAAAAATTTTGATACATAAAATACATTGGAGAAAATTTTAAAATATTTGTCCTGGGTGTCTGAAAATAGAAATACAAACGGGAGCGAGTTCTGATACTAGGAACATTAAACATTAGTTGACGAAGTAGTTCGGGACAGTCAATTTTAAAATTAATAATTTGTAAAGAATGCATATGGAATAACATTTCCTGCGAGTACGTAATTCAAGGATATCAAATCTATTCAGCAAGATGGTTTGCGGAATATTCCGAGTAGGGTACACGCCATCTAGCTTGCACGACAAATATTTGACAAATTTTTGCTGAATTTTTTCTAATGCCTGGCTATGTACTTCATATCCAGGACTCATATTCTAGCTTACTACGTACAAAAGCGTTAAAAATAGTTTTTAAAGTGTTAGGCTCAGAGAACTGGCGTCCATTTCGAATGACAAAACCCAAATTTCTGTATGCTTCTTTTTGAATAGTATTGACATGTTCAATAAAGTTTAACTTAGCGTCGAAAAGAACACCAAGATCTCTAAAAGAAAGACATTTATTGATGGTAATATTGTTGACAGTGAAATTATACTCAATCGGATTTAGTTTGCGAGTGAAGCTGATAGAATTGCACTTAGATATGTTTAGTGGTAAGTTGTTAGAATTACACCAAAGTTTAAATTTATTTAGGTTCTCCTGCATAATCAAACAGTCATCAATACTAGAGATTGATTTAAACAATTTTAAATCATCGGCATAGAGTAGAGTATTACATGATAGGTTTTCAGTAATGTTTATTTACAAAAATTGAAAATAAAAGTGGTCCTAGAACTGAATCTTGAAGGACACCGGAAAAAGCTTTTATACAAATTGACTGAAAACGATGGTATTCAACTTTCAATTTACGATTACTTAAATATAATTCAAAGAAACGCAGAAAAGACGTAGTGAGTCCAACAATGAAAAGCTTGTTTAAAAGTATACTATGATCGAGGCGATCAAAGGCCTTGGAAAAGTCAGTATATATAGCTTCAACCTGGCCACCCCTATCAAGGTTTTCCGCAACATATTGTTTAAAT